CCATTAACCCCGTGACGTGGGTGATGCCCATACCAGAATGTATTCCCAGTTCTCACTCGTGAGGTTCTCGTCTGTGGCCTTGACCACGACATCATCGAAGATGTTCGATTGTCCGCGAAACATGGCGGTTTACCCCGTCGCTTTGGGGGTTGTTGGGCCTCGAGTATGGACGATGTTCAAGTGCGGATGTTGCCTTGAAGCGGGTCAGACGACGGGCGGCAGTAAGCGCAATGCAGCACAGGGTCCACTGGGCGAGTCTAGAAGGTTAGTGTGTGATGGCGTCCTGGAGGATCGCAAAAGAAATAGGTCTGTATGCTCGGTTTTGTAGGTGGAGGTCTGAAAGGTAAAGCTCAAGTCAACGCGCTGTTGCTGTCGTATGCTGAGAGGCTTGAGGCTTGGAGCTATCCGCCCGACGGGCGTGCGCCGCCGCCCAAGCAGTTTAGCGGGGGGTTGATGACGAACACTGTGGCGGGTGCCTACTCAGCCACTCAGTCACGGGCCACAATCTCCATGCGGCAAACTACTACTGTATTCAATTCCACAGCAGCCACCATAATGACTTTTCAGACAACTGCATTTACAAAAAAAACTATAGAATGTATTCGGCTTTTTCTTGTATGCCGAGGATGCCGCAAGGTGACAAGACTGTAGCCCCTTCCCAAAGCGTATAGACACTAAAAATTGCAAATGGTGTATAAATAATCGTATAATGGCATCCGTCCCATGAAGCACAAACAAATGTGGCATAATGACTCCCTCGATGCGCACCTGCATCGATACTCGACTCTTTTTTTCTTTTGAAAAACACGACAAGAGGTAGTGCTTGCTGAAGACACAACGGCTGAAACAAGACGGAAAGGATTGCTGACTCGGTCCAAGACGATCCACGGGGCTCCAAGTGAAAGAAAAGCAGTATGAGGCTTCGACCTTTGCATACCGACTCTAAAGCCAACGTGCTGCCCTGGCTCGGCTATGGCGTCAAACCTGATGGTTTGGAATGCAGCCACTCGGCTTGGTGGCATGTACTGTGAAGTGTAACCGCAAGCGTCCATTGTTTGCCTGGCGCCATCGAGTCGCTCTACAATTCTGTCGTCTTGCCATACCAGTTGGTGAACGAGTTCGCATTCGTACTGGACGAACCGTGACCGTTGCCCTGTAAAACAAGAGTACCTAAGTGCCGGTGTTAAAAACACTCTTTACCAAAACGAAACTTCACATGCCACCCTTCTTCCGCCTCTCTTCTGCTCTTGCCTTCCTTGCCGACTGCACTAATGGCGCTAGTGTGCTCAAAGGCTCAGCAGTTTGAATGAAGGGGTGCTGTTAACATGTCAGCTATTGTTTGACCATTTCTTTTCTATGGTTCGCCCGACTCACCACTAAGAGATCGTGAGCACTAGCTCGCTTGTCCGGGTCAACCTTAAGCGAAAAGGCTAGGAAATCGCGGAACACCGGTGACAACGCGTGTTCTTCCTTGATTGTGGGTGTTCCATTGGTTGCAATAAGCCATAGCGCACGCAGGGGGCTTTCATTCAGGTATGGCGGCTCTCCCTCAATCATTTCGATAGCCATGATACCAAGTGACCAGATATCGACCTTTCGGCCATACTCCTTGCGCGTGACAACCTCAGGGGCCATCCAGTACGGGGTGCCCACCATGGTGGTACGCTTGTTGTGGCTCTCATTGATCTGGGCGCAAAAGCCAAAATCGGCTGCGTGGCATGTTAGAGCACGCCACATATCAATTTGAACATGTCACTTACTTAGCTTGATGTTTCCTTCTTGAGAAAGCAAGATGTTGTCAGATTTGATGTCTCGGTGAATGACGCCCTTGGAGTGCAGATGCTGCAGGCCGTGCAATGTCTGCCAGGATTAGCTCAGAAATTGAGAACCAGGCACGCATACTCACCTCTCTGCACACAGCGGCTATTTGACCCTCTGACATGATGTTGAAAGTAACGACATCTGTCAAGCTTCCGCCCTCCATATACTCCATGACTACCCAAAGATCGCCTCTCAGCAAAAAGCTGTCCATGAAGTTGACAATGTTCTTGTGCTTGCTGTCTTTCATGACGAGAATTTCGTTGATAATCAGGTCTTTCTTGGGCTGCTGCTCCAGATTCATCTGCTTGATAGCCACGCATTTGTTGGTGTGGACCTCGAATGCCATGAAAACACCACCAGAAGCACCTTGACCAATCTTGCTGAGGTTGCGGTATCTCTCTCTCGGGTCGGCGTTGGTACAGATGGCATTGAGCTTCGCAACGATGTCGGGTCCCTGGCTTTGTCGAGGCCTTTGGCGCGCGCGTGGGGCCGGGCCTACACGAGCGGGCTGCGGCTGCTGCGCTTGCTGCGACGGTAGCGGGATGTTCTGGGGATCCGATTGTTGGGCAAACACCTGCTGAGGCGTGGGCTGTACGTGTACGGGGGCTGGCGGGGGCGCATGTACCGGCTGAGGGGCTCTCTGGCTGACGCTCCTGCTAAGGGGCGCCTTGGGCTGTTGGAAAGAAGCCATTGCCATTGCCTGTTGTTGCTGTTGCTGGTATTGCTGCGCGGGGGAGATGGCGGGGGGACCAGCTGGAGAGTCGAAACGCGGCGGTGTTCCTCCTGTTGTGTTTGCTCGACTGCGTGACGACGACGAGCCACTGGGGCTCGCAGAGGGTGCGGGTGCAGCATAAGCGGTCTGGGGAAGGTCGTATTCCTGGCGAGGGGTCGTTTGTTGCGTGACATTCGGGCCTGGGGCCGGGGGAGGGGGTCTGGACGGGGGAGCAACAGTAGAGCCTGACGAAGCACCTGGGGGCTTGGGAGCTGGGCGGTTCGGTACGAGAGCTGCTACATTAGTCTGGGGCAGGTTAGATGTGGGTGAGGTGAGACTGCGAGGAATTGGCGGGGGAGCGCGGGGGTTCTCGAAGCTAGACTGGTCGTTCCGTGGAAAGCGAGGGCTCTGCGGGGGGCTGAGTGGTTGGGCAGCGCCATAGTTTGCGGTATTGTTGTTGGCGGAGGCGGAGATGGGGGTGGTGCTATTATTGTTTTGGGCAATGTTAGCCTGGTAAGCGTATGCTTGAGTGTGCGCGGGGCCCATCTTGTCCCAGATGGTGTCGTCCTCGTTCTTCTCGGCATTGTCCTTGTAGAAGTTGACCACATCGACGACAGCCTGGGGATGCTGTTTCTGCTCTTCCTGGGAGATGCCATTCTGCTGCAGCATGCGTTGCCATTCCTTGGGGAGGCCCTATATGCAGCGTTAGCGAGTGAGGGGTTCGAGGGTTGGGGTTGGGCAGGGTAGCTCTGGAGAGGAGAAGAAGAAGAAGAAGGAGGAGGAGGAAGGGGGGTACGCACCGTATACTCGCCCGTCTGGTTGTCGATGCTAACGTGGGTGACATGCATGGGGTTGGTGGGTGTGGAGATGGTTGGGCGGCGCGGGGAGCCCAGCATGCTGCTCATGAAGGTGGAGAAGGTGCCCTTTTTCTTTGCGCCGCCAGACAGTCGCTTCTTTGCCGTGTCGGTGGTGGGCTGGGAGCCGGAGCCGCCATCGCTGTAGCGGTTGGTCTTGGGCTGGCCAGTCGAGGGCGGGGTGGTCGAGTCCATGTTGGAGGTGAAGGAGCGCGACTGTCGCAGGTAGCGGGCAGGCTGGTCGGTGTGCGAGTGCTGTGGGCCAGCGGGCCTACGTGGTGCGTTGGCGTTGGCGTTGGATGCGTTGAGGGCCTCCTCGACGATGCTGTTGAAGGGCTGACCGACGGCGGCCGGGGGCAGGTGGGCGACCGAAGGCGGGAGCTGGTAGTGGGCCAGATGGTCGACATGCGCGTGGTTCTGGTACTCGTGGACGGGCGTCAGCGAGGGGCTGCGGCGGAGCGACGAGGCTCCCGGTGTGGTAGCAGGCGAGAGCGAGGCCGCTGAGCCCGTGCCAAGGCCTTGATGGGGTGCAAAGTAGGATGCAGCACTCGGGGCACGCTTCAACGTGGTCGACTTGTTGTTCAGATAAGCGATTGGGGGATGGCGCTCCTTCTTGACCAGCCGCCTCGACGACGGCTTTTCTTCCATGTTGCCGGCTGCGCCCACTGGCTGCGGCGCGGACGGCGACTGGCGCAATGCGGACCTGGGGTTTGAGGGGGTTTCACTGTGACCGCGGCCGGGCGATGTGGGTGCGCGTGGTGGTCGTGATGAGGATGGATAGGACGACGACGACTACGAGGGAGACGAGCAAGTCGACGGTGGGCTGGGGAGGGCCAGGCGGATTGGGCGAAATGGGCGACGATGCACGGTGGACGGCTACGGGACATGCAGCAGCTGCAGCAGCAGGAGGAGGAGGAGGAGGAAGAGTACCGTAGCAGCAGTGGCAGTGGCAGCGGCAGCGACAACAACCACAGCTCCAGCTAGCTGCGACTCGAGCTACGACTCCAGCTACAGGCGGGCAGCAGAAGAAAGATGGAGTCTCGGAGAGGGCATGGGCATGGGCATAGGCTGGATGGACAGCGACTGAGCGTGTGCTTTTGCCGCAAGAGGGTCGGCCATGTCCATGTCCTTGCTAGCCTCCAGACTGCCGCAATCTCCACCCAGGCGAAGACCACCATGCAGGCCCAAAATGAGTTTCAGTCGGCCTTTCCCTCTCATTTCCAGCGAGCAAGTAGAGCCGCCTCCACCGCCGACTCATGCAGCGCCCGCGTTTGACAGATAGCAGGCCCGGGCAGCGAGCCAGCACGCCGCCCACGCCGCCCACACAGCCCACGCAGCCCACGCCGGCTGCAGTACACAGGACACTAGCCCACGACGACGACGCAATACGAGCACTCGGCCGCCAGAGGGCTCGCTGGATGTGTGTACTTAGATGGCGCCGCTGCAAGACGAGCAATGCGCCGTGCCTGTGCAGGAGCCGCCTAGGCCAGCCCGCCGCTCCCACACAAACTCCCTCCTTTCACCCTCCCCCACTTCGCGCTACCTCCGCCGACGTATAACATGCCATCACCACTGCACCAGAGATCCAAACACCGGGCCTGGTGAAACGCGCCATGCACGCATCCGCCCTTACGGATGCAGGGCGCGCTTGCACCCAGCACAGCGCCCCGATGCTGATGCCAATGCCCCCAGCGGCTGCCCACCCCCCCAAAAACAACACATCCAGCAGCAGGCCAGCAGGCCAGCAGGCCCGGCCCGCATGCGTGCTATCCATGACCATGTGGACGCACATGCAGCCCGTGGCGACTATCCAGACGTTGCGGGCACAGCGTCATTCAACAACAACAAGAACAAGAACAACAAGGCCCTCGCTGCCGTTGGGTGGCGGCACTACCCTCGCGTCGACGCTCAATAAGCGCCTTCCAGAAGGCCGTGTACGGTGTGAGACGAGGTGGAATGCCCCGTGCAAAATCAAGCCTCGCCCAACAAGCATACCCCTCGCCTCGCGGCTGCGGTCCATCTCCCGTCGCCATCGCACGCTACCGCTGCACCAGAAAAAAAACGTTCTGCCGACCACACTCCTGGGACCACACCACATTGACTTTGCCATGCCAATTGCCTGTCCCGTACAAGCCCGCCTACGCACGCAAATTGCCTAATTACACCACGTCCACAATGCCCACCTTCTCCTCCGCGGCTGGGCCAATCCCGCTGCCCATATCTGAGACACCCGTCTTCCACCCCATGCCGACGATCGCCAAACAGTGACATTTTGCTTTCTTTGCTTCTTGCGCGTCATAGCGCACAATGAGCCAACTGCCAGCCTGCTGCGTGCTACATGTAAGAAATTAGTACTTCTGGCCCGGCAGAGAACACGGTGCCTTGCAGTCCAAACCCCCCCCCCTTTTGAGCCTAGACGGCAATGCCACATGCAGCCGTGTCCATGTGTGAACCGGTTCATCAGAATGCTACTACATAACGTGCAAGGATAGCGCCACGCCCATGCACCTGATACATACTTACACAACGCCTCTACAGCGCCAGGGTGCAAGCTATTTGTATACTTGGCTACATACCCCACCAAGCCTCCAAACGCACACTGACCAACCGCTAAAACATCGAGTATAGCATAGATGGATATTGCTTACTTACATTGTGCCACCATCCAGTCGATACGTAAGTATGCAACAAACATACCATATATGCCGAACGATGCGTATCCACTAGCCTCTCAAGTCATGTCACGGCAGGAGTGAAACAAGCACCCTTGTCACGGTAGTCTTCTGCCTACTCAATCTCAATTACGATGCTGTCTGCTCAGCCCTACCCTTTGTCTTCCCGTATGCACCCCCGGCCAATTTCCGCATCTCCAGCGCTCTCTTGTACGGCGGCGCTGTAGGAGGCTGCACAGGGTCCAGACTGACTCTATCCTTGGGCAGGTAGTATGTAGCGTCAGAGTCGTAAGCCGACAAGTCACCACATGCCAGAAACGGCGCTATCCACCGCTGACCTCCTTCTTCAATATCATCTTGGTCTTCGCTCTCGTCGCCAAGATCAATCTCGATTGCCCCGTCGTCCCTGACTTTTCGCGAGACCCTGCTTTCTGGCCCCGGCGCATCGCACGGAGCGGGTGCTTGTGGTGTGGGCAGCTGCGTGCCCGCGCCAAGCGGTTTGTCCAGACTGGCCGTGAACCCTTTGGGAGGACAGAAGCCCTCGCACACGACAAACGCTTCTATGCTGCTCGCCCGACTACTCCTCGGCTTGGCCACGCGCACCCGCTCAAACACAATCTTCAGTTGCGCAAACAGCAAATCAACGTCTTTGCCTCTGAAGATCTTGGCCACAAACTTGCCTCCGGGCTTGAGCACGCACAGGGCCAGGTTGAGTGCTGCCCACAGGAGCTGGCTCTGCACGTATATGTCGAGGTCATGGAGACCAGTGACGTCGGGCGCCCCATCGGAAATCACCAGGTCCACAGGTGAGGAGCCGCTCGTGGCCTTGGGGTCGTATGTATCAGGATCGAGCGCCTTGAGCATAAGGGGTATCGTTGAAGGATGCGTAATATCGGCGCGCATTGTCGTTACACCTTCGAGCGGACTCATGGGCTGCAAATCAATCGCAACTATCCGTACCCCTTCTCTTGGCTTTGATCTCTCCTCCTTGACTCCAGCATCCTGTTCGTTTTTCTCTGCTTCCAGCCCATTTTCCTTCTTCTTGTCCGCGCCCAAAACGTAGTTCCGTGTCGAAGCCTGCTTCTCCTGCCACCCCGCCCGTCCAAATTTTTCTCCCTTAATGAGCACACGGGATAGCACTTGGCTCCAGCTTCCTGGCGCCGCACAGAGATCCACGACTCGGGTGACGCCTTCAAACAGATTGAATTCCTCGTCTAGTTGCAGTAACTTGTATGCAGATCGTGCCCGCCATCCTTCTTCTTTTGCCAGTCGGTAGTACGCATCTCGCTTGTCTTTTGACGACTTTCCCATGGCTCGTTCTGGAGGGGTAATTCACACCACTTATTCTTCCCCCACCTTGGAGAATTTTCGAGTCTGTCTGTATGACTGGTGGTACAGTTTGTTTTTTTTTGAATTTGCTCGTCTGCTGTCTCGATAACTTGGAGGCCTTGGATGCAACAAAATTATCTTGTGCGATACAATTACCAGATAAACGCCTGGTGGTCTAGTCCTATTCTTCCTTCCTCTTTGTTTCCCTCTGCCTAGATCTTGTCGCAATTTAGTCAATGCGGGAGTAAGTCGCACGTGAAGTGCGGGCTAGACAATCTGCAGGGCGAAGTGGGGCGGCGGACTCCCGAACGCCGACAGTTCTCCAAAAAAAAGTTTCCAGAGACTATCGCACGCTTCGACCCTCGCGTACAAACACTTCCAATCGCAACCCCGCGCCACAATGAAACGCGCCCATGCTGCCCCGAAGAAGGCGGCGCACAAGGCGCACAAACGCCAGAAGGTCGACGACTTTCCTAAACCTCTACCTACCAAGACAAAACGCAGAGTGCAGCTCAACGAGCTAGGATGGAAGGCTGTTTCCATGCCCGATCGCTTAGAGGATACCGAAGGCTTCTACGGACTCGAAGAAATCGACGATGTTGAAATTGTAAAGGATCCTGTTACCGGCGCCTTCCATTTCGAAACTACAAAGACAGAAGACGAAGTTGCGCGTGATGTTGAGGAGGCGTGGCAGCGCGAGGAAGACGAGGCTCGGCGTCTTGAGAAGATGACTTTTGGGGAGGGCCAGGAAGCCGAGAAAGATGAGGACAAGGAGTCTGAAGAAGACGAGGGCAAGGAGCCCGAGGTACAGGGAGAAGATGAGGAGTTGGAATGGGAAGGCTTTAGCGATGAAGAAGTCGAGACCGAAGCACCGACGCTTGCGACGAACGGAGAGTCCGAGACAAAGAAGGAGACCAAGAAGGAAAAAAACAAGAGACTCCAGGAGGAGAAGTTGAAGAAGCAGGAGGAGAAAAAGACAAATGGGCAAACAGCCAAGTCAAATAGACAAGACAAAGCGGACGACGAAGAAGAAGAGGATAATGATGACGACGGCCAATTCGATGCAGAAGGTGTCGATGACGGCGAGACTTTTGGTCCTGGCGCCTTCGATATACTTGCAAATCAGCCAATGGATGACAGTGATGAGGAAGATGTATCTGCTTGGGCAAAGTTGGACCTGTCCGAGGAAATGCTCGGGGCGTTGGCGAAGCTCAAGTTTGCTAAGCCCACCGACATTCAAGCCTCGACTATACCTGAGATCATAGCTGGTAGAGACGTCATTGGAAAGGCTTCAACCGGTTCAGGAAAGACGCTTGCCTTTGGTATTCCCATCATAGAGTCGTATCTCGCCGGTCGTGCAGCATCAAAAGACACCGAAGACAAGGTTCCGCTCGCCCTGATCATCGCACCGACTCGAGAACTTGCTCATCAGATCAACGAACATCTAGTTAAGCTCTGTACAAAGGGTGACTTTGATGCTCCGTACATTGCATCCATCACGGGTGGTTTGTCCGTACAGAAGCAGCGTAGGCAACTGGAAAAGGCAGACATAGTCGTGGGAACCCCGGGACGGCTATGGGAGGTCATCAGCAGTGGCCAAGGCTTGCTCGCAAAGTTCAAGCAAATCAAGTTCTTGGTTGTCGATGAAGCCGATCGTCTGTTAAGCCAGGGCCACTTTAAGGAAATGGACGATATCCTCAAGGTACTCGAGCCTGATGATGAAGTAGATGAGAACGCCGAGCCAGTGGAAACACCAGAAGCCAACCGTCAGACACTTGTCTTCTCAGCAACTTTTGGGAAAGACCTTCAAAGAAAACTCGCCGGCAAGGCTAAATTTGGTGGTGACCAGATGAACCAACAACAGTCCATGGAGTATCTATTGAAGAAACTTCGGTTCCGTGAAGAGAAGCCCAAGTTCATCGACACCAATCCGACCTCACAAATGGCCAGCAAGCTTCAGGAAGGCCTTATCGAATGCGCTGGCCCTGAGAAAGATTTGTATCTATACTCACTCCTCATGTTCTACACCAAGAAGCGGGCCCTAGTCTTCACAAACTCCATCTCAGCTGTCCGACGCATAACACCATTCCTAACTAACCTCAACCTTCCCGCTCTCCCATTACACTCCAACATGCCACAAAAAGCCCGTCTACGCTCAATCGAACGCTTCAAAGAGCGACCAGGCTCCATCTTAGTCGCCACCGACGTCGCCGCCCGCGGTCTCGACATCCCCAAAGTCGAACTGGTAATCCACTACCACCTCCCCCGTGCCGCCGACACCTACGTGCACCGCTCTGGCCGCACCGCGCGCGCCAACGCTTCAGGTGCCAGCATTCTCATCTGCGCACCCGAAGAAGTCGCTGGCGTCCGTCGTCTCATCGCCAAAGTACATGCTCGTGCTGCCTCGGCGCCCAAGACCAAAAACACATCCTTCTTCATCCGCACCCTCGACATCGACCGCCGCATCGTATCCCGCCTCAAACCCCGCGCCACAATCTCCAAACGTCTCGCCGACACCGTCATCGCTAAAGAAAAGAAAAACAGCGGCGACGACGTCCTCCGCCAGGCCGCCGAGGACCTCGGCGTCGATTACGACAGCGAGGAGTTTGATAAGGAAGCGAAAGGGAAACGGGGTCGTGGTGCCGGTCGCAAGAAGAAGGAGAGAGAAGCGAGTCAGATGACCAAAGCCGAGATGCAGGCGCTACGTGCCGAGTTGAAGGCGTTGTTGAGTCAGAGGATTAATACGGGGGTTAGTGCGAGGTATCTTACTAGTGGCGGGATTGATGTTGATGCGCTTATGGCTGGAGAGGGCAATTTGGAGTTTTTGGGGCACGTGGATGGGCTGGGGTTTGATGATGAGGTTGATGAGGAACAATAGTAGGTTCGGGGGGGGGGGGTGTGGGATAACCCCCTTCATGTTGTAAAATAAGGGATATCATTTTGTATCCTACTTGAATAAGTTGTATGGACTTGTAGATTCGAGTAAATTTATAAGCTGAGTCCAAAGGAGAAAAATATGTATGGAAACTCTTTTTCTTTTCCTCCTCTCCCCCACAGAGGCAGAGAACCATGTATATATAGACTGTTTTGTGCAGCTGGTGACCTGACTTGCGTGTTTTTCTATGGGGGAGGGAGGGAGGGAGGTAGGTTGGGATATATGTATCCCCCCCTTCCCCATTTCGAATTGTGTTAATTCATATATGTATAACGTGGTTCACAAGCGAGCTGATCACCCAAGCGAGCTGATCACTTCCGGCCAGCGCGTCAACGTCAACACGTTATTACGGTTTTTTATCATAGTCAATAAACTATTGCGATATACTAAATTAATTATTAGAATCGCTACTATTACTTATACT